TGAATAATTTCCTGAGATATCTTTTGAATGATTTCTTGAACTCCTAATTCCTTCCTTTCTTCCATTCTGTTAATCTTATTTGCTATCTACATTCTGAACTTGATTTCTGACATCCCAGCCATTTGCTTGTGGATGGGGTCTTCAATTGTGTCTGCCTCATTTTCCCTTGGAGGAGTTGATCTACTCTGGTTATTCGAGTTGCCAGAGTTTTTCCTCTGATTCCACCCCATGCTGAGTTGACCTTGTTTGGAGGCCTTATCAGAACCATTCAGTTGGTGGCTTCTTCTGGTTGCCCAGAGAGACGGGCAGAGTGTGTCTGTTGTCTTCTCCCAGTTCTTGGATGCTGGGGCAACCAGGGTGCAGTGGAACAGCAGTAGCTGCACGGGAGTGTGCGTGGCTGGATTAGACCTCATTCAGCCTGCTGGGGCGACGGGGGGTCCAAGGGGGAGGAGACCGGCAGCAGCCAGATCAGTCCTAGTTTGGCCCCTCTGGGGCAACTGGTGGAGCAGGGGAACTGTAGTGGCTAGATCAGTCCTAGTTCAGCACCCAGGAGCAGCCAGGGTGGGGGAATGGCAGCGGTAGTGCAGGGTATGCGAGCGACCAGATCAGTCCTAGTTCAGCCCCACCAAAGTAGCTGCGGGGAAGCAGAGGACTCCTTCACCATTGCCTGTTGGACGCATGTGGCACTAGCAAGCTGATCTGTGCTCTCCCAGCATGGGAGCCCAGAGTGGGGAACTTCTCCACCTCCATCTGTGAGACTTATGTGGCTCTAGTAAACAGTTCTGGGCCTGCCCAGAGTGGTAGACCCCTCCACCGCCACCTGCAGGGCACATGTGGCTCTAGCAAGCAGTTCTAGGCCCACCAAGCTTGGGAGCCTGGAGTGGGGAACTCCTCCCCTGGCCCCTGGGGGTGTGCATGTCTCTAGCAAGCTGTTTTGGGTCTACCTGGAACGGAGGACTCCTCCACCACTACCTGCGGAATGCCCGTGGCACTAGCAAGCAGATCTGGGCCTGCCCAGAGCAAGAGCCTGGGGCAGGGATCTCTTCTGCCACCCATGAGGCATGTGACTCTAGCAAGCAGTTTTGGGCCCACCCCACTCCATGAGAGCATAGGGATCCATCCAGCAAATGGATTAGTCTGGGAAGGTTAATACCTCCTTCCCCACCTTGCACCCAGTCACTCGTAATCCCCCAGGTTTGTGACCCTATTCACTCCAGTTGGCCACTGCTCCTGGGGTTTATGACTGGCAAAATCAGCCAGAAATCTGAGTTCAGCAGGAGGGCCTTGCGTACTTAAATTGGGTTTCTGTCCAGCTAGATTTCTCTACAAGTCCAAGGTTGGATTCAGCTCTGGGCAGCAGACAGATAGCAGCTTACACTCAGGTGTCAATTCTAGCCTCTGCCCACCCACTGCCTTTGTCTCAGCTGTATTAGCCCCTCAGGGCTGGTGCTTTATTTATGAAAGTTCTCTGCGTTTTGCCTATGGCTACTGTCCAGAACTTCTGATTGCCCAGAGAGATGGGGCTGGAATGGCATCAGTTTGCAGCTCAGGATGCCACTGTTGCTGTATTGGCATCCCCTGAGCCAATCTTCTTCTCCTCACACCTGTGCCACAGTCAGCACAGGACAGCACTCTCCCCTTCCCCCTTTACTTCTCTCAAGGAGATGCCCAAGAATCTGGATTCCATAGGTAACAAACTTCCAGACCTCGGAGTGGGTGGGTGGGAATGCCTCGGAGTTCAATGTTGTAGGTGGAGAATATATACAGTTTTATACAGTTTTACAGTTTTATGCCTGGCTGGAGAGTGCCATGGCATGCCAGCAGGGGTAGGAGGTCCAGTTTTTAGGGGGTCTCTCCCGTGGGATAGAGTGGGAGGAAGTTTGAACTCTGCTCGCTTGTTTGCATGGAGTAAACTGTGAGCCCTTGTTGTGGGGGAGGGGACTCCCGTCTGCTTGGTGGTGGATTTTGTACCTTTTGGTTGTATTTTTGGGGTTGCAGCTTGCCTCAGGAAGGTTGAAGTGCACTCTTCAATCTTCTCTCTTGGCTCTGCTCCAAACCATTAGCCAACTTGCTAAACTTCTGTCCCTGAAGCCTCCTTCTGGACAGGAGCTTCTGCAAAAAGCTGGCTGCAGTCTGACATATTGGCTCCGCCAGTAGCATTTTTTTACACCAATAAGCAACTTGCTGCAAAAAAGATATTTAAAAATAAATCTAATTTATAATAGCTACAACAATAATTAAATAACTAGGAGTAAATTTGACAAATGAGGTAAAAGATCTTTACAATGAAAACTATAAAACACTGATGAAAGAAATCAGAAGACACAAGAAGTGAAGACATCCTATGCTCATGGATTGGAGAAATTAATATTATTAAAATGAACTTATTATCCAAAGCAATATACAGATTCAATGCAATCTCTATCAAAATGCCAAAATATTCTTATAGAAATACAAAGTACAATCCTCAAATTTTTATGGACCACAAAGACCCCCAAATAGTCAAAGCAATATTGAGCAAAAAAGAATAAGGCTAGAGATATCATACTACCTGACTTCAAAATATACTATAAAGCTGCAATAGTTAAAACAGCATCATACTAGGATAAAAATAGATATGAAGACTAATGGAACATAATAGAGAACACATAAATACATGCATATATTTACAGCCAACTGGTTTTTGATAAAGGTGCCAAGAACATGCATTGGAAAAATGAATAAACGGTCTCTTCAATAAATGATGTTGAGGAATGAAACTAGACTCCTGTATCTCACCACAAACAAAAATGAACTCAAGGCTTGGCGCCTGTAGCACAGCGGTTACAGCACCAGCCACTTACACTAAGGCTGGCGGGTATGAATCTGGCCTGGGCCACCTAAACAACAATGACAACTGCAATAAAAAGAATAGCCAGGCCTTGTGGTTGGCACCTGTAGTCCAACTACTTGGGAGGCTGAGGCAAGAGAATCATTTACACCCAAGAGTTTGAGGTTGCTGTGAGCTGTGATGCCACAGCACTGTACCAAAGGCCACATAGTGAGATTCTGTCTCAAAAAAAAAAAAAAAAAAAACAACTCAAAATGGATTAAAGACTTAAATGTATTGTTTGAAACTACTAGAAGAAACTACTATAAAACTACTAGAATAAGATATGAAGAAAATCCTTTAGGATATTGGTCTAGGTAAGATTTTATGGGTAAAACTTCAAAAGCACAGGAGACAAAAACAGGAACAAAAGCAAATGGGATGGCTCAGCGCCTGTGGCTCAAGTGGCTAAGGTGCCAGCCACATACACCTAAGGTGGCAGGTTCAAATCCAGCCTGGGCCTGCCAAACAACAATGGCAGCTGCAACCAAAAAACAGCTGGGCATTGTGGTGGGCGCCTGTGGTCCCGCTACTTGGAGGCTGAGGCAAGAGACTCGTTTGAGCCCAGGAGTTGGAGGTTGCTGTGAGCTGTGATGGCACATCACTCTACCCAGAGTGACAACTTGAGGTTCTATCTCAAAAAACAAACAAACAAAAAAAAACCAAATGGGACTACATCAAAATAAAAAGCAAGGAAATAATCAACACAATGAAGAGGTAACCTGTAGAATGAGATAAAATATTTGCAAATTACTCATCCAAGAGACTGATATCTAAAACACACAAGTAACTCAAACAACTCAACAGCAAATAAAAAAATAATCCTATTAAAAATAAGAAAAGAATTTGAATAGACATTTCATTAAAAAAGACCCAAAGGAGAAAAAGTGATAAAGCAAAGGATTAAACATATACATATTTTAACTGCTAAAATACTGATTTTTTTATATAACTTATCCCCCAGACAATTTCTCTTTTTTTACTGGTCAGAAGCCATTTGCTAATCACATACATATTAAATCTGTTTATATTACATAATATACACATACATGATTTTAAAACATTTTTAATAGATCTGTTTTACTGTAAAATGAAGAATGCAGAGAAAGTTAACCAATGTATCAAAATAATAAAAAGTCCCTTTGAGAATAAGGATATTTTCTAACACATGGAAAAATCTGTGAGTCACTGGGCGTGGGGATTACCAAGTCATGTATATTATACTTAAGCCTTCTGACAGTCATGGACTTTTATCAGCTGAGACCAATGTGACCTTATTCTTAAATATCTTTAAGGAAGGTGATGACACCTATCTAACTTTCCACAGAAGTGTTAAATTCTAATATCTGAGGAAAAAAAATAAAAATTCTAATGTCTGATTGAAATTGCTCCTTCTGACATTCAAATCCATTTCTCCTAGTGTAGGCTATAATACAGAACTAAGATCCCCAAATAATTCAGAACAAGAGAACTAAACTACCTGCAAGTCTCTGAGGCTTCAGTAGCTATGTTATATTGTGAGAAATTAAGCTGAGTTTCCACGTGGTCACATCACCTGAGGCTGTTCTGCTAAGACGAACCAGCACAGCAGCCTAATAGTACTTTGATAAGAGAGACAGACTCTCATAATACTTGAATGTTCAAGAGTTCCAAATAAAATTAAAGAGAAAGAAAAACACATAAAAGTTGAAAAAAAAATCATATTGCTATGTCATAAGTGCATAGACTATCTGCCCAGCTCTGTGCTAAGCACTGTTTAGTCTCCTATTCAGTTATCAAATGTGTGGATGGTACAGATCAAAAGTGAAACTGGGGGTGCACAGGGCTCCACGTTGTCAAGGAAAAATTAGGGGGGTAAATTAGGCCTTGAAGAAAGCAGAGACGCTTTATCCAACAAAACAAAGCAACATTTTGTTTAAGTCTCTCAGACTTCCCCATGGTCAGCCTGCTTGTGTTGATAGTTACCATTTTGTAATTTCCTTCTTTTGTTGTTTCTGGAGTGAGTACGGAAATGTCCTGTAAACTCCCTTGTCTTTCTGATGCAAGAAAGGAAATCCTGGCCCAAATGCACAACCACAAAACGAGTTGCTACTCTGTGTCTATTAGAAATGGACTTCCTAAAAAACAGAGAGTGTTCATCTTTCAGATTCATTTTCCCTGGATATTATCAACAAAGCACTCCTCAGAAACTGAGAAAATAGAGAGAAATCAAGAAGAGGGGAGAGAGGGAGAGAGACAACAAGAGAGAAAGAATGAATTCACCCAAATCACCTGCACCATCATGCCCAGGTAAACCTACAACTCTACTTTCTCCCCATGTTTATCACCTGTTCTCACATTTTTGGAACAGGTGATAAATCTGGTGAGATAATAAAGAAAAGTAATTAGTGTAGTAAAAATGGGGGCAGGGAAAAAGGAAGAGAGAAAAAGTGGTACTAGAAAACTATATGTCATACTGAAAAGCTTGCTGGACTTGAGTTGGAGGGGAGAGCTGTCAGATTGCTGTTTCTACCCTTTCTGTAACACGTACACTGTCATTTCCCTTCTACAGAAATCACTTTTCTTGTCTATAAAATGTATATTGGAGATAAAAGAGGAACTGCCAGATAATTGTTATCTAATTTACAAAGAGCTTGAAAATGAGACACTGAAAAGAAGAGAGCAGTAGAAAACAGGAAAAGCAGAGGGATGGTGGAGAAGAAAAGGAAGAGAGAAAGAAAAAGAAGGGAGTAAAGCCTTAGAAAAAACAAAAGTTTTTGTTTTTTTTAATTGAGAGACTTAAAAAGGAAAAATTGTGTATCCACGTTCATGAGTCTTAATGTATTACTTCAGTATTTCTAAATGTGTGGTCAAGACCAGCAGCATCAGAAGCCCCTGGGAACTTGGTTCCATGCAAGCTTTGCTGAATTTCTAACTCGGGTGATGAGGCTCAGCGATTTGTGTTTCAACAAGCCCTGCAAGTAATTCTGTCATATGCTTAAGTTTGGGAATTATTCAATACAGGCGAACCAAGTGGAAGGAACTAAGCGAAGGTGAATAAGCATCTGTTCTCTCTTTTGCCACTAGCTTAGGGAAGACTGACCATGTTTGTGTCTTCCACAGACAGAGGATGTTTCTCTTCCCCGGTGTTCTTATGGACCATTGCTGGCATCTCCATCCTTTTTCTCAGTGCCTGTTTCATCACCAGATGTGTTGGTGAGTTTTGAAGGTCAAATTCAATCTAATTCTCTCTGATAAACACTAGAAGTAAACACTTTCTTGCAGTCTATAGATTGTCTTCTCCTTCAAAGGGTCTTTCCAACTCAATTTTTAACATATTAACTTCCAGGTTACTCCTCAAGCCAGAAACCTGTTACCAAATTTCAGTAATTTCTGATGCATTTTTCATGATATAAATTTTTAATCTCCTTGCGGGCCTTGAGTGCCCTCCTACCCTTTGTATCTCTATTATCAGTGTTGCCTTCCCTGGGAGACCCTATATTAGAGCTAAAGCCCATGGGTCAGGACCAGAGACGTGACAAATTACTTTTTGGAAGAAAGGATGGAGAAGCTTAGGCTTGGCATAAGAAGGTGTGCTGACATATTTATTTTCTCTGGGCGTTTGGGCCTCATATAAAGTGTATTTTTCTTTACAAATTGGGGAAACCATGGAATGAGAATTCCCTCTTCTTTCGTTGAGTAAGCCAATCCCAGTGCTCCTGCAGGTAGAAGAAGTAGACAGAAAGAAAATATCATGGTAATTATTGGCACATTGCTATGAATACAAAACTAATTGTATTGAAATTGGGGGTTTATCAAAAAATAGTAACAAACATTAAGTGTTTCCTTACAGTGACATATAACATCTTCCAAATCTGTGATAAGAAAAAGTTTCAGCTGCCAGAGAATCTTACAGAGCTCTCCTGCGACAATGACGGATCAGGTATGACAGTCTTCAACACTGAACACTAAGATTAATATATTAATGTTTTCTGGCTACTAGATTAATGCTGGAATAGGTACAATACAGTCCAATTAGGTTCCATTTTTCAAAAGCAAATTTAAAATCCTATATGCACTGTAAGAGAATGATGCGGAGTTGGTAGGAGTACAAGAATAGAACTTTGGAAATGCACTTTAGTATTGGGTCAGGAAATCTTGAGGACATGAGAGTAAACTTCTAGAATGAATTTTTGGCAAGTGTCTTAACAGTAAATCCAGAAGTTGAAGGTGTTATTCCCAGGAGTGTACTTTTTTTTTTATTCAGCTGCTTCCCAAATGAGGTGAATAAAACCAAAAATGTATAGAATAGGGAATTTGTAAATACCATAGGAATAACAACTAGGCCCTACGCTCTTACATATCATCCAGTCCCAAGTCTTTAAAAAAATGCTACATGATGCTGGGAAACTGAGTGATTTCCTTCTCTGAGCTATTAGTATAATTTTCTTATCATTAAATTGAGACATGTTACACTACTTAATAGATTTAGAAGGCTGAGATTCTGTAATTTTAAGAAATCTATCCATACACTACAGTTTGGAGATCTGATTAAGGGTACATGGTTCAGGCAGCATAAGAGATGGCTGCTTAGGGGTCATCAAATAAAATGCAAAACCTTCTCTGACCCTGGCAGTCTAAGAACAGAGAACAGGGCTCCATCTCAACAGCATAACTGAAACACGTGGCATATATTGTTGCATTTCTTGGCACTGGCATCTTAAAAATAAGGATTACATTCAAAAGACAAGAAAATTGCTTTTATATATATTAATACTGGAATTATCTAAAGTCATAGATAGCAAGATGTGGACTATGAATAAGGGATTCCAGTGCTCCTGCCTATAAATGAGGACATATGAAGCTTTGTGTTTCTTATGTTTTCTTACTCAGGTCACTTGTGACACTCACTGAAAGTGCTCTCCTCCCAGGTTCAGTCAAGAGTTGCTGTCCAGTGAACTGGAAACACTTTCAGTCTAGCTGCTACTTCTTTTCTACCAACACTCTGACCTGGGCATTAAGTGTAAAGAACTGCTCGGCCATGAGTGCCCATCTGGTGATCATCAACTCTTTGGAGGAGCAGGTAGGTGGACAACAGGCTCCTGCAGATTCTCACAGGGAGCACCTCCCTTTTCCATAGCAGTGTTTGGCCCTCCATGACTGTTTGTTAAACAGATGTGCTGAAATACATGTTATTTTTGTAAGTTACTATTTTAATTTATTTTCATTACTAGAAGAACCTAAAAAAAAATACATGAAGTTCCTTTATTTAGGGGAAAAAGAAAGGTTGGGCATTAGGTTCAGAATGATCATTACATTTATAAGCATGCCTATGAACATTACATTTATGAATATATGAAAGGAGGCAAGTGAATAACAAGTCTGTTATCTTTAAGTTGTGATTAATAATGTGTTGTGCTGGATATATAGAGTAGATGTAGTTATTGATAAGAGTAGATAAACTTTGAAGTAATTATTGAGACTCTCTTCTGTCAAAGGTTATTTTTTGCCAGCTTAATTTGATGTTATGCATATTTTACCACAATGAAGAAAATCAGTAGATAATCATCTATGATCTTAAAATTTCAGGCCCATTTATCTATTGTCTTCAGTACAGATCCTATTTTGCTTCTCTAATAATTACCTTCAACATTTGATCAGAACTGAAATAATTGATCTCTTATTTTTTGACTGTGTGTCTTTCATAGGAATTCCTTTTCCACATGAAACCTAGAAAGAGAGAGTTTCATATTGGACTGACAGACCAGCTGGTGGAGCGTCAGTGGCGATGGGTGGATGGCACACCTTTAATAGAGTCTCTGAGGTAATTATACTCTTGTCAGAGAATTCTAACACTATCCCAAATCCTAAACTAGATCACAGTTGAAGAGTAGGTCTCAGAACCCCCTTCTGTGATATGAAATATACAAAGTCATTTATGTTTGCCAACTCATCCTAGAAAAGTATTGGATGCCCCATTACTGAACATCACTACAGTCACCCTCCAGGCACTCCACTAGGAAGCTATGTGGTGATGCCAGTGCTTAGTCCACCCTTCAAAGCAATTTAGGAACTCTTTCTGGAATGGCCATCAAAGCTGTCATCATACACATATATGGCCTGACAATTAAGTTCTCAAATTCTTTCTAGAAAAAGTGCTACATATCTCATTGCTGAATATCACTACAGTCACCAAATAACCAAGGGAGCACTTCGAAGGTGACTGTGGTAATGTTCAGCAATGAGATATGTAGCACTTTTTCGTATCTTGGATAATGATGGCTCTGCTGGCCATTCCAGAAATTGAGTTCCAATACTGCTTCGAAGGGTGGACTAGGCACTGACATCAGTGCATAGCTTCCCAAGAGGAGTAACTTGAAGGTGACTGTAGTATATTCAGCAATGAGGTATGTAGCACTCTTTCTAGGATGAGTTTGAACTGAATTGTCCAACTTCATAGTCAAGTCTATCCTTGGTGGCATTAGATGTAGGAATAAGAACAACTGGTATAGAACAGTGAAAGGAGAAGTGCAAGCACCCACTGCTACTATTTCCTCAGGCTGTTTCAAGAATAGGGGGAAATAATAGATGAAAATGAGAAGAGGATTAGAATTTAAGAATCATTCATTGAAAGTGAAGATGAAGCAAAGAATAGAATTAAGAGTCTTAAGCTCCAAGCTCTAGTAAATATGAAAAAAAAACTGATTTGAAAGATAGTAGATTCTTACAGAGTGAAAGTGGAAATCCCATGATGTCTTTTTTCTCTACAGGAATGGCCTTAACATTGTTAGAGCTCAGCATTTTGGAGTTTTCAAAGTCTTTTCTCATTCATTATTTTAACTAAATTACTCCTTCCTCAGATACATCAGTATTATTGAGTCAGAAGGATTAAATGACTTACACAGCTAATAAGCTACAGTTTTAAGAGTATAGTCTAAATACTTAGGTACTTGAGAAATTTTGCTTCACTATAGCACTGTAACATCACTGAAGGATGCCCTTAAGTTAATATTTCTGTGCAGAATAAAGAGAACAACTCTGATATGAGATGTGTGTGCTAAGGAAACAAAACCATCAGGGTATCAATCCTTCCCATAACTTCTCATTCTAGGTCTAAAATCATGAAGGATCATGACCAAATATAAAATCAGAAAGATCCAGTTTGACTTCAATACTCACAAACTCTATGATTTAGACGGATGATTAAGTTTTTCCAAGATTCCTTTTCTTCATCAATAAAATGGAGAGTTTAATACTTACCTCCCAAAATTATTGTGATGTTAAATAACACAAATATAATTTGCCTAGTCTAGTAGATGGGGTCACTTTGCCCCTTTTTGGTGGAATTTAAAATCTCCCATGTCACTCTTTCTCAGCTTCTGGGATGTAGGAGAGCCTAACAACTTAGCTACAGTAGAAGACTGTGCCACCATTAGAGATTCTTCCAATCCAAGGAAAAATTGGAATGATGTACCTTGTTTCCTCAATATGTTTCGGATTTGTGAAATGCCAGCAGAAATACTTTGAACAAAGAAAAATATCTTCAGAAAAGAAGACAAAACTTAAACGCATAAAGGAGAAGGAATAAAGAGTGTGTGGCCCATACTCACAACCCCATTAGGAGAAAAGCATACAATGCACTTCAAAGGACATTTTATGTATTTGTTACTCTGATAAAAATAAATAGTTTTGAATGTTACAATTCACGATAACTGACTGAAGTGCATTTTTTCTCCACATTAGTCTCAGGTCCTCTTCCCAGAATTACTAGCAAATGCCATGAGAAGAAAGGAACGTTTCTTTAGGTCCATGTGGCCATTTTTGAGCATTTATATGAAAGTACAGGACATAAACCAAGTGCAGAGTCCAGCAAGAGGAAGATTTTGGAAAGTGCCTTTGAACAGTCACCTGAATTCTGACTCTGGGTCAAGTTCTTTTCTTCCTAGCTTCTGAAAAGTCTGCCTTCTTTTCTTGATTTCACACTGTTTTTATCTCCTTCACACAGACATATCCCCTCTATACTCTACAATGAGTAAGAAGCTCCTCCATCTCAGGGAACTCACTCATGCTCAGAGACAGGTGTGGACTTTCTGGCCTGTACGGGCCTTCACTGCACCTTCTTAGGGAAGACCATGCTAACCTTCAATTCCAAACAGACTGCAATGGAGTCCATTCAACCCTGGCTTTCCTTTGCTGTCTATTCTCATTGACTAACTGACTGGATCTCACCTGAATTTGTGTTTATTGCTTAGTTAGGATCAGAGTACAATAGTCAAACTATTTTAGAGAAGATTCAGCTTCACACTCTCTTATCTCAAGCCAATGCATTTATTGCATAATACTGTATCAGTCCTGCTAAGGCTATGTAAATATAATGGCAGCTTTTACAACCATGTTTCTTGCATACAATGCCATAAGAAGACCCTCAAAAATGTGTAATCACTGAGCAAGGAAATTCAACTGAGCAAGTGACTATGTTAACTTTCTTTACAAAAGTTCATTTCCCCCATGCCCCACCATGTCATTGTCATTAATTGTCATCATATCAAAGTTGAATACATAGTATTCATACTTCTCCATTCCTGTGATGTTTCACTAAGAATAATGTGTTCCACTTCCATCCACATTAGTACAAATGTTGCAAAATCTTCATTTTTTTTTAATGGCTGAATAATATTCCATGGTATACATATACCACAGCTTATCAATCCCTTCCTGGGTTGAAGGACATTTAGGCTATTTCCACATTTTAGCAATTGTAAATTGGGCTGCGGTTGTAAATTGGGCTGCAATAAACAGCCTAGTACAAGTATCTTTATAATAAAAGAGTTTTTTTCCTTCTGGATAGTTGCCCAGTAACGGATCGCAGGATCAAATGGGAGGCCTAGGTTGAGTTCTTTGAGGGTTCTCCATACTTCCTTTCAAAAAGGTTGTATTAGTTTGCAGTCCCACCATCAATGTAAAAGTGTTCCTTTCTGTCCACATCCACGCCAGCATCTGCAGTTTTGAGATTTTTGTGGTATAGGCCATTCTCGCTGGGGTTACATGATATCTCAGGGTGGTTTTAAGTTGCATTTCTCTAATAAGTAGGGATGATGAGCATTTTTTAATGTGTTTGCTAGCCATTTGTCTGTCGTCTTTAGAGAAGATTCTATTCATCTGTCTTCCACATTGATGTATAGGATTGTTGGTTTTTTTCTTGTGGATTAATTGAAGTTATGTATAGATCTTGGTTATTAAGCTTTTGGGAGACCAGACAGAGAAGGATGGAGAGGGTGAAGGAAAGGGAAAGGAAAAGAAGAAAAAGAAAAGAAAATAGTGGCTAATTCTCACATAAATTGGATTTAATTTTGACCAAAGTACATTACTTAAACATTAGTTTTTAATTCAACTTGTTAATATGTTGTTTAGGATATTTCATCTTCATTTATAAGCAAATATGTTTATAATTTCACCTTTATAATAATATATTTTCTCCAATTTTAATATCAGGTGTACCCATATTAAGCAGAATGATTTTGAAGTATTTGTTCTTTTTCTGTTGTCTATAAGATTTGGCATGATCTTTTTTAAAAATTATCTTTTACTTTCATTTATAAATATTAGTTGTCTATTTTTTGAGACTTTGGGGAAAAAATAAGAAGAAGAAGTTAACTGATGGCTCCATACTGAACCTCAGAGTCAAAGCATTCTATAATAGACATACTCTTATTTGACAATGTGAATGTTACTTTCTTTGCATTATTATTGTTATTATTATTGCTTAATATTTCAATGCAGCAATTGTCTGATTTCTTTTCTGAATGTATTTATCTTCATTCATTCTTTATGAGGTTTTTGTTTCTAGTCCTTATCTTAAACAATTTATTATTATTAAATTTTAAGCCTTTTTAATTTTGGGAAGGCAAAAAGTGGAAACCTAATAAACACATGTATATGTAAAAAAAATGGAAAACATAGGATAATATATAGTATACTCTAACTTTAATTTAAAACATATGTATGTGAAATGTTTATGTACATAGTACAATTTGTATATAAAAAATGATAAAATACTAAAATAAACACAAGAGCAAACAAAAATTTTTCTTTAGAAAAATTGAGAATGGTGTTGGGTAAAATTTTCTTTTTTTAACTTTTAATTTTTTATGTTATATATTCAATATTTAAACCATGATGTGGTTTTAGATTTCTTCTTATTTTTTCTGCTTAACTTAGGCATGTATGAAAAATTTAAAAATTATGTATATTTGAGTTATAAAATATGATGTTTTGCTATAATTATACCTTATACAGTGATTCCCACAATCAGACTAATTGTATTATTTTTCATAGTTACTTTTTTCTTTGTGATGAGAACACTTAAGATCTACTCTCTTAGCAAATTTTAAGTCTATACTATATTATTATTATTAAATATAGTTAATCTGGTATATATTGGGAAAAAAACGTTTATTTCCCTTAACCATTATGACAATCTGGTTCTGAAATCAACATACTTTCAAGGCAAACATCATCAATCTAAAAGTAATCCAATGAACATAACTTCAACTTTCTTTTTTTGTTTGGGTTTTTTTTTTTGTTTTGTTTTTTAGTTTTTCAAATTAATATGAGGGTACAATTTTTTTTAAATCATAAATATCAATGAGAAAACATTGAAAGACAGGTGAAGTTTTTTGTTTTCTGTTTTTATTAGTTTTGTTTGTTTGTTTTGAGACAGAGTCTCACTATGTCACCTTCAGTAGAACCCGGGCCAGGTTTGAACCTGCCTGCCTTCGTGTATGTGGCCAGCACCCTAACCACTGAGCTATGGGCACTGAGCTGGGATGAAGTTCTTTTGTTGTTGTTCATTGGTGTTTCTCTGGTGGTGGTTATAATTTGATTAAATTTCATTTCTATATTGTAAGACATATGGAAATATTATTCCACATTATTTCCCTATATGTGGTTATAATTTAAGTTATAAAATGAAACTTCATCTTCATAGTTTGTTCAAGAAAAGAAACAATTCCTCAGATTTTAGTGGTTAAAGATCATTGTAACCCAAATTATCTATTTGAAAAAAAAGTTTTTGAGAAGTAGATCATCCAGTTGAAATTGTTTTAAAATATGGTATTTTATAAGCAGGGTTACACAAATGTGTAATCACTTTAGGCACCAGAAAACCCAGAGATTTACAAAAAAGTAAAGGGTAATTAATCATACATATATGCCCAAGAACTTATTTTCAAAATAAACTATTGTTAAGATTTAAATACCACTGGGGGCCCCAATTTTTTTAAAGAAAAATCACTCTACTACTTTTTGTAAAAATGATACGTATTTATTATCAAAAATTCCTACAGAGCACAATTATATAAAAATGAAAAGTGTTTTAAATCCGAAGTTGAAAAATAATTGCGGGGGGGG